CTATGCCAAGGATATCACATCATTGAAGCCTAGTAACTCTTTGAGTAGTTAGCAGATTTACTTTGTTGCACTTCCCAGACCTAGCCGAAGGTCCTCTCTTATATAATCTGCAAATAGGATCCAGTCAGACAGATGGTCATAACATATACAGTATTGTTCTTATACCTTCAATTCTGTGGTATTATAGTTAAAGGATGCAATTGAGATCGATATATATGATGATATGCAGGCCCCGTAGGGTAGCTGGAGGGGGGTATTAGAGACCATGTATTCCAATTCCAAGAGGGGTTATCCTACTTAGGGTAGTTCCTGGGTATCGGATCTCGGTATTCCTAACAGGTTTTCAGTATTTCCAGGTGTTTGCATCTTAGAAGAATAACTGATGTTACGAGTTACAATCAAAGAGGTCTATAGTTGTATAATAGATAGATGTAGTCTGCAAATACTCAGACGTGGAATATAAATATCTAAGTGACTCCTAAGCTTTTAGATATTATCAAGCAATGGAGAAGAGACCTTAACAATATAATATTATCTTCAAGATTCTATTCTACCTTACCTACTTTACTTTGCTCTTAGTAGTTATAAATGAAACGAGTAAAGTTCAAGCCTTCCTAGATAATCTCCATCTACAAAAACGAATCTTGGTTGGCCTTGACAACTCTGAAGTCTATCAGGTTATCTCCACCTACCAGTATGCACACCTCTATATAGAGATTGATAATAGGCAAATGGCAGGTCTTGAAGGTCAGGTGAAGGAATAGTTGAAATGGCTTTAACCTGTTGGGGATTCAGATAATAAAAGCGAGTATCTATTGTCATAGAGTCCAATGAGCTGAAGAAGAATGGTTTTTGCCCTGAGGTATTAAAGTGTTCACAGCTGTTCGCTCTCAAAAGGCCTAGCAGGGGGACTGTCAAGAGCGCAAAACAGGACTCAATGGTAAAATGTAGTCTGTCTTGGTCTTTTATTCCTACATGTCAGACAACTTTAGAAAATGCTCCGACATGATGACAAAATATTGTTTGTTCTCATCCTTCAACCTCCAGGACAGCCCTCATTTAAGAGGATCATAAGCCCCACAATTTGAGACATCTTCTGGTGAGAAGGAACGACAAGTACCTACGTAGAATAGCTTGGAATGATAGGAGATGGTAGAGAACAATGAGAAATAGTAAGGGGGATGGCAGAAAATGATAGGAAAAGTGGAAAACGGTAGAAGAGGGCAGGAGATGGTGGAGGATGACAAGGGACAGTTGGAGATGGCAGGGGATGAGAAAATATAGTCTGTCCTCGTCTTCTATTTCTAATTACCAGGCAACTTTAGAAAATGACCAGATGGGATGATAAAGTGTAGTCTGTCCTCATCCTGATTAAGGACAAATGGACAGCCGTGTTGCTAACGCTGTGGTATTCTTGTCATGTGAAGTGTATTAAACGAGTTGTGGAAGCTTTCTTCTCTACTGCTCTAAGTCTTTAGTAATGAGGGAATTGAGTCTGAGTAGACTATAGACCTAATGCCCATGTCTAGTCACCTATCATCTCCTGCTGCTACTCTTTATCTTGTTATAATCAATTTTACTATGACAGTTATGGGAAGAGCAAAGCCGGCTGGCTAAAAAGACAGTAGGAAAGTCTGATTCAGGTAGCTGGAGAGACAGGGAATCTTGTTATATGGTATTACTTGAGAGTTGTAATTCTGGTGAAGGGGTAGCCTGCTGGCGTAAGAGATAATAGAAAATTCAATTGGAGTAGATATAGAGTCTGCTGACTGGAAAATAGCTGCAAAATCAGGTTATCTTGTCATATAATATTATTTGGGACGCATGATTGGAATATAGAAGTGATTTGCAAGAGAGTATAAAAGATAATAGAGAGATTTATTGCGGTAGGTATATAGTCCGCTGACTGGGCACTGGTTATGGGATCAGGGTATCTTATTCTATAGTATTGTTTGTGGCTAGTAAGTGTAGTAAAGAGAGACTCAGCTTGGGTGAAAGATAATTGAGTTCAATTTATAACCGGTACGGGTAATTGGTTATTGGTTTTGTTTTATGTTTTATTTTAAGTATCACTTTGATACTTGATTTGTTTTAAGTATCATTTGATACTTGATTTATTTTATGTTTTATTTTAAGTATTACTTTGATATTTGGCTTGTTTTAAGTATCATTTAATACTTGGTTTTATTTTATGTTTTGTTTTAAGTATCATTTTGATACTTAATTTATTTTACCAAAGTGTATCGCTTAATACCTTTGACTAGTTCTGTTCATGCTAGATATGAACAGATTTGTATATTTAAAGACTGCCTGATTCCACAATGGAAATGGCAGACTTCAACTAACAGTTTTTCAATATACTTGGTTGAACAGTTACTCCTTTGTTTTCTCAGTACACCTTCAAAGCCTCCTTTAGTTCTCAGCTCTCACCTCTTCTCTAGTGGAACAGGCCACCTGCCAACTATCGTACCTATACCATTAATGTGATTAGCACCTTATGAACACATTACATAATCAAGGTAGACATGTAGCCTACTGGCTAGGAAAAGATTTTGAACTCAAAGTATTTAGTGATCTGGTTCATAGTAGAGAGTTCAGTCTTGTTAGAATTGAGGCCTGCTGGCAGAAGGGGTAATAGAATGATCAAATGGGAAAGGGGGGTGGTCCACTGACCAGGAAACTGTAGGAAGCTGCTAAGGAATTGGAGTGTCCTATTTCAAGCAATTTGAGTAGAGGGCGAGTCTGCAGCGCACTCCGGGGATCAAGTCAAGTTTTGTGGAGACTGGCGAGAGAATTTCCGAAATATCTTCTTGAATAACCAAATATTCCGCCGCGCATTCCTCTAAAGTGTCGATACATATGAAGGTAGGCTTTTGGGAAATGCTGGGGTGTATCATCTTCGCGGTATCCGGAAGGTAAAGTCGCTCTCCACCAATGACCGCATTGTGGGCTCCGTAATCGTGCACTATTTCCTCCGGTACCTCTTCTAACCCGCTAACGGCTTGTTTGAGCGGAGAGCTGAGCATACTGACCGATGACTGCTCCTTTTAGGCTGTGAAGTCGAAGTGAAAGCCTGCAACCGTGATATTATTGCTCGTTGGACTGATCACTGGGGGTGTCTCCCCCGCTGCCAGAGTGCCTGCTTCTAAATTCTGGAGCTTGTAAGAGCCATTCTCCTTCATTTTCGACTTGGCGGTCTCGAACGTCTTGATGTGGTGGCCTGGACTCTAGTGGTAATAGTTGAGTCAAGGGTTGAGACCTGACATCGGCAACAGCATAGAGTTGCTGATGTTTGCTGATCGAGAGAGTATTAGAGTTAGATGATAGTCTAAGTCGGCTGCTGGGAGTTTTTATTGCGTATTACCGGTGATTTGTGCTCTGATCGCATGACCTTGTTACATGCAGTATAGCGGCAACATATCTCTCGCATAAGGGACAAACAGGAAATATCTGGAACTTGAAGGAGGCAGTAGGAGTTGGGAGGGAAGTTAAGAAGTTTGAGGCAAGAGAATGGAACAGAGGAGGAAATCAAGAGATAGAAGAGCAAGGAAGCGAGAGGAAGGGAGCGAATGAAAGGAAGTAATTTGGTTAAATTAGGCAGAGAGAGAAGGTGCGGGGTAAACGCTATTGTGAGAATGATAGGCTGTGACCAGAAAGAGATGGAATGTGGAAGTTTTTCTTAGTTTTGTATTTAAGGATATATTCTTTCCTTTTTGGGGCAAAGTGAGAATGAATATGAAGACTCTTTTCTCCTCTGAGATCATGGATCTAACTTCCGTTCTGCATAGCACACCCACTTTCGATTTACTATTATTTTGAGAACTGGCAATGTGGTGATCTTAGTAGAGTCTCTGGGAAAGAAGAGTTGTTCGTTTATTGGAGTGGTCTGTGCTCTTTCCGGAGGTGAATCGCTCGCTATACACAAAGTGTTCTGGCCGCCCGACTTCAATAACGATATAAGTCCGAAAATTGAAATTGAGTGTTATGGCTTTTGTAATGTGAAATGTGTGCAATTGTGAAAATTTGGTAATGCGATAAGGTGTCAAATTGTGCTCTCCGCCTGGTCGAGTAGGTTTCGGGTGATACCTGATCGTCGGAGTACTGCGTGTTTTGTTTTGTTTTTGTTTTTTTTGCTCTCGAAGTGTTATTGTCGATTTCTGGCGCTTATCCGATTACGATAACTGCTATTCCACGATATCAAATCTGGTAGAGGCCCAACCAGTGGCTTCCCTGCAGCTATCCACACCGTGAACCATTCCAGAAATGGGTAGTAATAAGGGAAAAGATCGATAAGCGATTGTGTCGTAGCATAGATATGGTCTTAGGTGAAATAGGTCACTGAATAACAAGTATATCTCTCCAATAACCGGTCACGGTTCTTCATACTCGTGACTTTCGTACAATTCGCGTTCCCCCATGTAGTTGCCCTGATGTGGTATTTTGGTCGTACATCGAGGTAATTAATGCTGCCACAACAACTCTGATGTGAATGGGGGAACCGGTATTGCCCCTCTAGGCGTCTCGGGAATGCTCCTGAACCTTCCATACCCCAAATATTGGCACTCTGGCGAGCCCCAGACCTCCATGCGTTGTGACCCCTCTCCATGGAATTATTCCGGAGGGTTGGGTCGGCAGCGGTTACGTGTGGAAAATGAGTGTGGAGAGTCACCCGAATTTGAGCTGTCAAGGGAACTGAAAACGGAGAAACAGAGCAGCAGAAGAAGGAAAATTTGTGCCGGTTAGCTGTAGGCAAACAAAAAACGCGAGCTGTAGCGAGCTTGGAGACGAGTATGCGAGTTGTAGCGAGCATCGAGGTTCTCAACTCCTGGGAGTCGATGGTTCTATATATGCTAGTGGCTCTCTGGTCCGTACGTCGTGAGCTATGACCTCCAAGCAACCAGGTGAACCTCCTACCAAAAGGCCATCGCGCCTTTCCCCCACGCTTTGCCCAATTGGCAATGGGTTGTTCCAACCCGACATGGAGAAAATATTGGCTAAGTGGGAGTTATGGGTTGTCATGTACAGTACTGTACCTTTTTCTATGGAGCCCCATGCCAAATTATAAGTTACTTCCAACACTAATTGATACAATAGCAAACAGCCTGCCCAATTCTTCTTATCTAGACTCTTAAAGCGCTGAGAAAGAAATGGTTTTCTGGCTGATTTTGACTCAAAGTTCTGATTTTTTTCAGTGGAGTATGATAGTGTTAAGCGCTGTCACTCCGAAAATGTCCATACCTCACCAAATCGGGTGCAAAAACTGGTGTCAAACGAAACGTTTCAATACGGTACTATGTATCGATACAGAGTAAACCCCCACCCGACCATTACAAAAGTACAATGCAAAAAAAAAGAAGAAAAGAAACCTCCAAACCGTAAAAACCCCCTTATTACTTGCCCAACTAATCCCTAAAGTTCCCATTAAAATACTCAACGAAAAGCTCCCTTATCCTCTGCTTCCCGACAGGGTGCTGTCTATTCAGCGCAATGAATTGCCTTCGAATCCTCTGCAATTGAGCAACCGTGAGATCCTGTCCAGGCAATTCCAGAACCTGCAAATAGTCAGCCTGCGTCCCCCCACGAACCTAGGAAGAAGCCGTAGCTAGCAGTTATACCTTCCCACACTCCGGAACAGGCAATTCCCCGCCTCCTCCAGAATTCTTCTGGTGTTCCAGAACCAGCGAAACAACATCCTGCGTCGTCTTATCCAACTCGTAGAGATAATCACTCTCCGCCGCCGGTTTCTACAACCCGACCAATCCCAACCCATTAGCCCTCCCCCATTCCCCCATCCACCCCTCCCACAAAAGGACATGAGCAACTCACCAAAACCGTGGCCTGATTAGCCCTAACTTTGACCCCCCCAGCACAAACGGCCTCCCAAACCCCCTCCCAAACAGCCTCGCACTCCCCCTCAGAGTCCACCCAGGGCACAGTAAAAAGTGGAGAATCCCACCTCACCATACCGTTCGGCTCCTCATACCTAAACACCAGATTCTCCAGCGTGTCCCCATCCCACCGCTCCGCCGCCTCAGCCCTCGCCGCGTTCCACTCCCGACACTTCTCCGCCGGCGCCGCCACATGCACGACACAGCTCGGCGTCAGCAGCGCTTTCGCCTCGCAGAACAGTTGGTACCTGTAGCCCTTGATGTAGTTCAGCCCATCGGCGATCACGACATCGTCCTTCGAAAGGGCACGCTTGATGGCGGAGTACTCAGTCGCGCGGGCGGTCTTTTCGCTGGCGGCGGTACTATAGCTCGTTCGCGAGATCTGCAGCGTGTGCGGGGATATCAGGTGCAGTTTTTGGCTCCTTTGCTGGGGCGGGGTGTCGGGTGAGTCGAGTTTGGCTTGCAGGTAGGTGTGGAGGTGTGTTGCGCGGGTAGTTTTGCCGGAGGAGGGGTAGCCGGTTATGATTATTAGCTTCGAGAGTTAGTTCTGTGCTTGTAGTGGGGATTGGGGGGGGGGGGGTGAGGGCTTACTGGCATGGTGAATGAAGACTTTAGTTTAGAATTCCTGTGGCTGTCGTGTTAAATTGAGTTTCTGCTCTCACAAAGTTTACTTAGGGTCGGTGTTTGGTGGGGTCGAGTTGAGGCTCAAATTAGCGGGGTAAGCTACCGGTATAGGGGATCCCTAATTTCTCCGAAATCACTCGCTCACAATGAGTCACTCGAATACTATACATAACACCTTTCATGTTAGATATAGTCTTCCATTATCTACAAAATCTTTTCATCTCTCATACCTTGCCTTCCCATATCGTTCCTTTCCACTAGGTTGCATCCGTTTAGGCGGTTAGGCGGTTTTGGTTGGGTCCTCGATTATACGGCTCCAATATCGTAAAAGCCAGACACTATATCCTCATGATTTACGTCTAGAGGTGTATATTGGCATGAGAACGATGATGCGTTACGGACTGAACACAGGAAGCAGGTTTCTTCTCATGAAGGATGAGATCACCGATATTCTCTATATGCGTTTAGCCATTTGATCTTTTCTTTTGGTATCTCGAAGTTTTTGGGTTGAAACTGCAAAATACTACCGTTCCTCTTGTGCACACCCGAGCTTATTCCAACAATTTACCCTTCGCTTGATGGAAATGGGTATACCAGAGTTCCACCATCTATGATAGAAAAAAAATCCCCTCACCTACCATAAAAATTTGAATAATTGAATCATGTGCTATGAAGTCTAAAATTCCCTTCTCAATAAAGAGAGTGAAGACACAGCTAAAGCACAGCCCCTTTCCCTTCTCCCGAGACAGAAAAAAAATTCTTGACCCCACTAACAGAGGAAAGTCCAACGATATAGCACACGGCTCAATTATTCAAGTTTCTGCGGCACAGAGAAAGCTTGTCAATTGCCAAAGCCAACCCGAAGGAGGGAGAAAGAGGGAGGGAAGCGAAACGAATAGTGGAACGAAGGTGTTGGTAATTCTACCGATTCGAACAAAGAAAATAGATAAGAGTCAACCAAGCTATTACCACATCAAGCCACGAAGAGTGCAACTTTAAGAGCCATCGCCTAGGTGGACGTTAGAATTTGCATTGGGGTGATAGCCTTTGTTCACATCCGACCCAGAGTCCTCATCCTCTGCTTCCATGCTTGCATACTTCTCTTCAGCGCTGGTGATACAATGCATGTTTGCGCCGAGCTTGTTCATAGTTTCCATCCACTCGTCATAGGGATCGGAATCGTGAACAATTCCTCCACCTATGTATATCCGTCAGTAATAGTTTCGTAAATAGGGGACCAGGAGTGTACCTACCCGCTTGGAGGTAGGCTACACCACCCTTAACCATCATAGTTCTCAAAGCAATACACGTATCCATACTATCATTCTCGTATCCCCAGTATCCAACAGCACCACCGTAGACACCACGGCGTTCCTTCTCAAGCTCACCAATAAGTTCCATAGCACGAACCTTGGGGGCGCCAGAGACAGTGCCCGCTGGGAAGATACTTCTAAAGGCATCAAACCTCGTCATTCCCTTCCTGAGGACCCCCGAAACCTGCGAGACTAAATGCATGACGTGGGAGAATCTCTCCACAGTCATTAATCTATCGACAGTAGTTGTGAGAGGATCGCAGACGCGGTTGATGTCGTTTCTTGCCAAGTCAACAAGCATGACATGCTCAGCTCTGTCTTTAAGAGAATTGGCCAATTCAGAGGCGAGCTCATCATCCTCCTCACGGGTTCTCCCACGCTTAACCGTGCCCGCTATAGGATGGGTAATGATTCGCCCATTCTCCGATTTTACCAGTAATTCTGGAGACGCACCAACTAATTGAAAATCCTTGCAATCCATATAGAAAAGATATGGAGAAGGATTAACAGTGCGCAAATGCCGGTAGATGTTAAATGGGTGAAGCGAAGTTGGTCTCGAAAATCTCTGCGACGGAACAGCCTGGATGATGTCTCCCTTCACAATATGCTCCTTCAGCTTGCGCACATGCCCTTCGTAGCCTTCCTGTCCAATATTAGATGTATACTGTTGATTCTTCCGAATCGGTGGCTGAGGAGGAAGCGGAATATCCGCCGACTGTAAGGTTTCGATAACCTCCGACACAGTGACCCGAGCTTTCCCGTATAATTCCCCCAACTCCTCCTCTGATAGGTCGCCTTCCGGTATACGAATGTGCGTAATAATCTTGATGGTCATGTAGAAATGGTCGAACGCCACCAGAGTGTCATACAGCATAAAAAGCGACTCTGGAGTCCCAACAACATCCTTCAAGGGCCTGGCAGTCCGTGGTTCGAAATATTTAACACAATCGTATGCCACATACCCAACAGCTCCGCCCGACATTGACGGAAGATTTAATCCAGGAACCTTGCCAACACGGTGCGTAGCCAACTCCTTCTCGAGTTGGGCAAGGGGGTCAACTTCGGGACCGTGGCCGGTTCCTGTCTTAAATACCTCCCTCGGATCTAGGCAAAGCGTTAGCCAGGCCGCGCGATCAACGGACACTACGGGGTAACCGCATACCGCACCCCAAGAAACTAAAGCGCCCAATTGTCTCTCTGCTAGAAGCGCTCTCGAACAAGAATGATAATTTACTGCTGCTCCTAAACAACGGCTCCCATCAGCCATGGACGTTGAAAACCCCTGAAGCTATGACTCACTTGGCGCTCAACTTAAGGTAGGCACTAGAGGGATTTAGGAATTCGGCAGGGATTTGTGCAAACACTGGGTATATATTCGGAGAGGTGGCAGAATCTGCGGCCCTTGCTTTACGAACATGTTCGAAAATAGTGGGCAAGTCCGGTTGGATGCGCTATAGAAATGCCTCGTGAGCGAAATTCAAACAATGGCGGAAATCTAGAGTGGGGCAAAAGTGAACCAACAGTAGGTTTGGAAACCATTTTTTATTTTTTTCCAAAGAAAAAAAAAAAAGCGAGAAGGTGAAAAAAAAAGGTTAGAGGAGAAAGTACGTCAAAGGGAAGAAGGGAAATAAAGGAGGAGCTCAAGGGTGAGAGTTGAAAGTGACCACTTGTAGTATTTAGTAGTTAATAAGTCAATTGAGATGGCAAAACCAGACTACCAAATACCAGCGATTTAAGTGGTGAAGGGAGAAAGAAAGTTGACCGGGAACTGGTGTTGCAAACCAAGAAAGTAAAGTGTTGTTGGCATCCAGGTCTTGGCGTACCTTTCGAGTTTTCGCCGGGTAAGTCTACCGCTATCCCCACCATAAACTTTATGGGGGATTATGGCCTCTTTTCTTCTTCCTTACCGACCATAACGAATTGAGTATTATTTGAAAACCCAGAGTGAACTCTCTCGTAATCCGGGGGGGGTAACACCAACTACCAGACAGTACCCAGCATGGTGGAAACGGGAAAAGCAATTAAGTTTCAAGAGATGCCCGTATTTTGTAACACAAGGAATTCTGTATGAAATAATATTATTATATAATATTATTATACATTTTTCGACAAAAAAAAAGCGCATTATGATACTATGTTTTCCAGTCTTCGACCCTATCCCGAATCCCTCACAGGATATCACTCGAGTCATCAGACTTCGACGAGCTTGTAATATGACTCTCAAATACGCATCGGTTGCGTATCCATAATATTTGATTATGACAGCTTCAGAAACTCTCTGCCTTTCTAGCTTATTATCGTTGCATTATGCAACACCATCGTCATTGACTTTTTCTTTTTTCTTACCTCTACCTACATCATGACATTGTATTGTTTTAGTCCGCCTCCCTGTATGATAGCACAAATAGGGCCCTATGGACCCTCAGGGATAGGGATAATGAAGCAAGCAATACAACCTCAATCAAGAATTACAACAGAACTCTTAAAACCACTGCTGAAGCCAGGTCAGCGAGCAAGGATAATAAATTATTGAATCAAATTACACCATTGGCCCATATACATCAACACAACGAAAAAGCGCCACAGCATGAAGGCGATATCACCCCCAATTTCCGGTTTGTCCCTTTTTGGTTGATCACTAAGGTCCGTTTCAGAAAAAGTCCAGAACTCCCAAATCTAGCAGCGTTGTGTCACCAAGACCCGTAAAGGTTTGGTAGACTCTTTACCTGTCCAAGAGCTACAGCTATGGAAGTACCATATGTGCCACAATTATTCTCGACTGCCATACCGTAAGAACTGGGACAATTGAACCCCGCGGTAGGGCCTTGTAGTTGCACCTCCTAGTAAGCTCTGTTATATTTTTACTCGACTATGATACCTGTCTCCGCGAAGGGTTTATGGCCAGTTTTTTTTCACATCCTCCTCTCCTTCATCCCAAGAGGGCAATTCTATTATATACATCTTAGTGTTAGGTTTATCTACCATCCCCTAATACCCCAACCAGGGAGGAATCTCATTCGAGCCAAGCTCCTCCCGCATCCTAACCCTCTCCCCGACAAGCATCCATAACCTATCCAACTCCTCCACAGAAATCCCAACGTATCATATCCAAAGGGGATCAGACGGGGAGGTGGGCCAGTTGCAACACAAAAAAAAGATCGAAATTTTCAAAATCTCAATTAACGCCTGACACTGGGAAGGCGAAATACAATGGCGTGAGAGGAATCCCGGATAGAACGTTATGCTTGATTTCCCCTTTATTGAGCTAAGTTCGGAGGTTCGGTTTCGCGGAAATTCCTACAGTGAGAATTCGAGCAAAATTCACATACAAGGCGATTCACTTCTACGGCTAATCCGCTTCCCGGCCCGATACGCTATCTTGTTCCTCAACCCGGAAAGGGCTCTCGATCCCCAGCCCACCGGACCCAAAGTTTCTGGGCGCTTCGTTATTCCTGGCTGGGGGGGAGGAAGACCCAATGGATGCCGCATGTGTAGGCAGTTATCAACATCTAGTATTTTTGACACCTGGGGAGGTAGATATAGCGTTTGATACCATATAACATTATACAACATTTCCATATACGCACCAAACCTCATTCTACCCCACAACCTTTTCACCGCCTGTTACACCGCCCGCCATAAGTTGAAAATACGGCATTCACAACAAATAGTTCCCAGAGCACTAGAAAATGAGCTCTGCTCCTAAAACAAAAGAGAAAGCAGCTACACACTCATGTTCAAGACTGTTACGAATTACAATGTGAGAACACCAAAGATTCAAAAAAATCCCCAAGGGAGAAACACCAAGGAAAAGGGTGAGAAATTACACCCTGTTTAAGGAAACAAGCAGTGCCCGCGAACTAGCCCAGAACTAAGGAAAGCATCAATGCGTAGGAATGCATAGGTAGTCAACATCATAGACATTCCTACAACAGGTACACACGACACCACATAGCGGGAAGACCCCGACCGCGCAACAGAGGATATAATTGCGGCCCATGAAACAACAAAATCCAAATTCCAATAAAAATGTCAAAAACCAGCTCAGGGTCTGCTTCACCCATTCTCACTCGTATTCTAGCTGCGTCAGGAAACTGGCCGGTTTGCGATTGAATTGAGCCCATAACACAAAACCGAAAAAGAAAAAAAGAAAAAAACCATTAAATTTTCATATGTATCATACTCGAGTAGAGGCGGAATCCTAGAGGACCTTACCTTTTTTCTAACCACGTCTAGTGGCCAACTCCTTAAGCATTTGGTTCAAAAAGAAAGAAAGAAAGAAATTACCTATAAAAAAATAAATAGAAAGAAATCAATGTTAATACTGCTCTCCAGGAAGGAAAGCACAAAGGACATCATTTCCCCGAAGCCGGCGAGCAATAGCGCGGGAAACTTTTTCATTTCGCCGGGTACCTTAGGCAATTCGAGGTACAGCACCATCCACTAGGGGGTCAGTAGTTGCGGGCCGGGAGATGACAAGTGCAGGTAAATAGGATCATACCTGTTGTAATTTCCGAAAAAATCACACAATAATAATGAGGGAATACTTCGTATGGTTGCCAGTTTAGGAATGCTCAAAAAAAACCTCCCGAAAACCATAGTTAAAATATTAGGATGAGTTTTCACTATAATATTATTATGATATTTGTCAGGGACCAGATCTATCTTTCCCCTAAGCCGTGCAATTCGAAACAGGAGTCCAACATGAAGGACCATGATAGACTACTCTGCTCATGTCGCAGCCACCACCAAAAGCAAGGCGACCCCAATCCAGTGCGTTGACAGATGTTTGAAATGGCAGCAAAACTCCGGGCATGTATCACACAGTGCCGTAAACACAAACCCCGAGAAACACGACACCCCCCAGCTGCTGATCCATAAGCGTGGGAACCCATCGAAGAAAGGTTCCGCCGAACGCCGAGAGTTACACGACAATCATCACTTGCTTCTTCCATCCTTACTGTAGCTGGCCTAACCTCCCCAAAGGTAGCTTCGGCAGTTGGGGCTTATGCGCCGGAATTGGTGTTCGTATATGCACTCAAATTACTCGAGTACTGTACTAATCCGAAAGCTTGGAAGCGGGCAACTAGCGGTAGTTTATGCGAGCCGGAGAACTTGAAGCGATTTTTGAGTAATAGATCGATATGCCAAACATCCCCTAAGATTACATCAGCCATCACCACGAATCCGAACGTGTTTGTGCTCTGGCATTGATCGCAATTTATCCACCCGGGATTTGACCAAATAGGACGCATTTGGCTATGTACAGTACAGTACTTGTATTAGTACGGTAGACACCCGAACACTTTTTACCTTGAGACCCGCCGAGATAGAGATACCGGTAGTGCTGGTGCCTCCAAAGCTCAATACCGTGACCCCCCTTACCGAAGCTCGCGCTCAATCCGAATAGAACGGTTTGCGTTCCAACAAGGCCGCAAGTGCTCCATAGGGATTGGGATTAGGCACAGTGCACAGACACTGGGGCCTTTGTAAAGTATCCGGACCCATGGGCGCCAAGACAGGTATTAATCGATGCCAAGGTGTCCGAACACTTTATAAATGGTCAACCAGAGCCCATAATGACAATTTGCAGGAGCCAAGTCCCCCCCATCCAGCCAGTCGAAGATACCGTACCATCATAAAAATAGAGTGTTCAGGGCAGTCACCAGCTCGAAAAGGACCCTACGAGGAGAGTGTAAAAGGAGCACCGGTACTCGAGTAACCAGAGAGATCAATGAATAAGTCCCCTAGCTTGGAACGGCTACAACAAACTGGCCGTTGATGGAGTGTCCCTATCCGTCAGGGCTACCGTATCCAAAGGTTCGAGCTTACATCTAAGAGCTGGGCCACGGCAGATGCGCACATTTCGCGAATGTGGGGAATTGTTTATCGCTTATGTCCTCTTTGGCGGATGGTAGATTTACCTACAATGCCGTAGCCTGCAAATTTACTATCGAGCCACTCACACGCAACACCGAAAGTGTTCAGATTACTAAACTGGAAAACCGTTCCCCTGGGCCGGGGGTGAATGCGCTCTACTGCACCAGTACCGGTACGAGTACTGTACTGCCCGAATATCGAAGCAGATTCTTACTCATATCGCTAGTGCTCCGGTAGCATCGTGGCTGGCGTTGAGAACTCCCCCCAGGTACATAAAGACCACTTCCCAGAGGCACAATTTCTGGAATTCTGCGCCAGGCACCCGATTGCCATTTACCTCTTTCTCAAACTGATTCGACACTCGCCACAAAGGGCTATTTTATCAAGGCCTAAGGCTGTGCACTGTCGATCTTTCCCAGCTCCACCCGCTGTCAAGACAGGTTTATACTACCGGTACCGGTATCCCTTCGGCGGTCTGAAACAGTCAAATTCGTCGTCAGGAAGGCTAGATTTGGCGACTACTAGCTGAACCTTGTCAGAAAAATTGGATCCCCAATCTTTTCAGTGCTCAAAGACCCCCCCCCCCGGTGGGTTCAAATACTGGCACCGTAAAATCTCACTATCTCCGTCAGCCCTAGAACCTCCGGATTCTGAGTCAAAGCTCCAGAGTTCAAATAAATACGGTATAATCTTAAGAAGGATTTCCTAACACAGCACAAGATCAGCCCTCAACAGGTGTTGGACCCCATTAACTGGTATAGCAATTCCGCTCAATTGTTAAACTAAACCTATCCTGGGCTGGCGGAGACAGCGGACCCCACGAGATTTTGCGGTACCGGTATTCTCTGCGATTTCAAATCTTAACCTGCTCGAAGATAGGCTTAGCGGAGACGAATTTGACTGTCTCAGACCGCTCAAGGCATACTCGTGTACCGGAGTACCGTGTACGAGTACCGGTATGGTGCG